AAATGAAGAGATATTTCATGTTCATAATGGGAAGATTCAATATTGTCAAAATTTCAGTTCTTCCCCACATGATTTATGGATCCCTCACAATCTCAATCAAAATCCCAGCAAGTTATTTTATGGATAGGGATAAATTGATTCTATTTTTTTTAAGATTTTATTTATTTATTTATTTGAGAGAGAGAGCAAGAGAGAGAGAGTGAGAAATAGCATGAGAGGGGAGAGGGCCAGAGGGGGAAGCAGGCTGCCCACTAAGCCGGGAGCCCGATGTGGGACTTAATCCCAGAACTCCGAGATCGTGACCTGAACTGAAAGCAGTCGCTTAACCAACTTAGCCACCCAGGAGCCCCATCGATAAACTGATTCTAAAGTTTATATGGACAGGCAACACAATATTGGAGGAAAAGAACAAAGTCAGAGCACTGACACTACCTGATTTCAAGTCCTACTATAAAGCTACAGAAATCAAGACAGCGTGATATTGGAGAAAGAACACACAAATAGATCAATAAAAAAGAATAGAGAGTTCATAGAGAAGAGAAAAAAAATGCAGCAAAAAAAAAAAAAATAAGTGTGTCTGTCAGAAAAGTAAGGAATTGAATTTTTATGTTTTTTTTTTACTACAAGTTATCTAGCTATAAAATTCTCCTGTCAAAAAACAATTGTGAAATTGTCATATAATTAATAGCAAATATGTTATATGTGAGTATTCTTCAACTTAGATCCTATAAACTGTAAATAAGATGTTATATTTCATCATGATTTTTCAAAGAATTATTGTCTATCAATGAAGATAGTTTTTAGTTACCATCAATTTTTTTGCACAATATTCTTGACATAAAATAAAAAAAAAAAATAGTTACTGTGAGTAAACTTGCAACGTTTTTGTTCTCATGTAGAGATAGAAGATAGCCAATCATGGAAAGCAGCAATGCCAAGCCTTAGTGGGAACAAAGAGAGAAACTGGAAAACTCGTGTCGCTTTACATACAACTGTAGGAAATTCTGGTATGTAAAGGAAATGAGTAAATTAAAAAAAAAATACTAGAGAAAACGGGCTCAAACATCTGATTGCAGATGATCCTTGTATCAAGGAAAACTGACTCCCAGTTTCTCTGAAGTTGTTTTTTTCCTGCTTGAATTTTAAGTTGAATTTTCAAGGTTAAGCATGACCTGATAGAGAGTATATCAACCTTGAAGTATCTATCCTCCCAATTCGCTTGATTCTATCTGCGTTATGGATCACCTGCCCAGTGAACATTCCTGGGTGACACAGCCGATGCCTCATCTCCTAACATTTTTGGCTGGGTCAGCTTGACCTTGGATTAGTGTAAATCTCCAACAAGGCTTAAATTGTGCCTGTCATAGAGGTAGCAACAACAGTTCTGGCTTATAGACACAACCGAACGAGATCCTGAAGATTCTGGAAACTCGCACCACTGTTGGATTCTGTTGAAGCGTTCCACCATGGTATATGGCTTTCCTAATGGCTACTTGGAGGGGACAGGTAACCAACATTTAAAAAAAAAAAAAAAAGACATGGAATATTGGCAGGAAAGATACAGGAGACAAGCAGGCACCAGCAAAGGTTATTTTGAAGCATTATAGTTCCATAGGGTCAGTGCAGTAATGTCCATGTTACTGAACATTGGGCTAAGTTTTCTTGTAAAACCTTGACTGGTTGGTCAAGTACCACCTTGGATTAGTTTTTCCTCTTTCTATGTTTTACTCCCCTTTCCCCCTTATTCTTAATGCCTTGGGATTGCAAATCTCCCTCCTCCTCTCTATTTGCCAAAAATTTATCATATAAACATTGCCTCTAGAGGAGCCTGGCTAAGATAAGGTGTCATATTTTTTCAGTGGGTAAGAAAAAATTAAATTCGATTACCATAAATTACTAGATCTGTTATATATTAATAAGTGTTACCCAATAAAACGCTCTGCAGCCAGTGGTGTTTGGAAAATGTTGGGTAAAACAAGTGTAGTCAAGTTTATTTACTTAATAGCCTTGATTTCTATTGCTCATTTTTTTCTTCCTCAGAGCATCCACTGAGACTAACATATCTGAAATACATATGAAAACAACATTTAGAGAGGAGAAATGGTAGAAAACTTAAAAGTTCCATAGAATCCAGGGAAGTAATGTAAATAAGCAAAACAGCCTGGTAGTATGCTATGTTAAACGGGAGAGAGCTTGCAGGAGCTGGACTGGAACACCTTCAGAGGATGGGTAACATATATGAATGTAGGTTCCGAGCTGCTGCACCTACTGATTTTTCAGGATATACCAAAAAATCTAGATTTGATAAAAAATATGAAATCTTCTAATGTTAAAAGTACTGACAACTGACTCTAATTTTTAAGTTATTGCATGGTCCAAAGATAATAAGCCTATGGGTGGGGCCAGAGCCAATATTTTATAACAATGGTGAGACTGTTCTTAGAGCCCTCTTATCAGTTCGCTGCCTTCTAGGCACTGCAGGCTGAAGGAACAAAATAAGTCAAGGAACCATTTCCTACTTTCAAGGTGCTCGGGAAGATCATGATTTTTTCTTATCATTCTATGTCTAGTTTGTGGAGGTATATACAATATATCTTCTCAGATCATCCCGGAGTGGAAATTTATCTTAGAGGAGAATTTGATGTCCTTGTTCAGTCTGGAGCACAATTCTACAATGCATTAATTCCACTTCATGGTGCATTAAACTGATGGTAAGTTGCTTACTCTTTTTTATTTTTCCATTTTGAAATCAGTGTGAGGATTAGACAAACATTTATACCTATATTTTATACATATATTTTTATACCTAGGTATGTGTCTTTGATGAAACTGAAATAAATTCTTGGGTAAGTGGTTTTGTTTCACAGAAAGGATTTTTTTTTTTTTTAAGCTGAGTTGAAAAGATCATTCTCACCAACTATTGCAATCTAGGGAAGTACAAAAAGACGATGATGATTATTGATAAAACCTCTCAATATCCATTCACTTGTGATACGATGGTATGTGAGCAACACAAGAGTTAAGTTACAGGGTTATTGTGGTGCACCTGGGTGGCTCAGCTGGTTAAGCGTCTGCCTTTGGCTCAGGTCATGACCCTGGGGTCCTGGGATCAATGATTTGGGCTCCCTGCTCAGCGGGGAGTCTGCTTCTCCCTCTCTCTCTCCCCTCCCCCAGGCTTGTGCTCTCTCTCTTTCTCAAATAAATAAATAAAATCTTTAAAAAAAAGTTACAGGGTTACTGTGAGTGACTATGTGTCAGCTTATTCATGAATTCATTATTGCTACAACTAAAATATTTTAGTGAAGTAATAATGGGTATTGTTCTTTCATTAAATATCAGTCTAATGCAAATAACAGTGGTATGAGTACCACAGTTGGCAGAATTCTCAGGTAGGCCCCCAAGATCTCCACCCTCCTGGCGTTACTGTCATGATTATGTTACATAGAAAAAGGGATTTTGCAGATGTAATTGAGGTTATTAATCTATTGAGATTGAGATAGTGAGATGATCCCAGTAGACCTGATGGATCATATAAGCTCTTTAAAAGAAGGGTATTTTCTCAGGCTATCAGTAGAACACAAAGTCAGAGAAATTCAAAGCTTGAGAGAGGTCAGCATGAGGGAGGTTTTGTTTTGCTGGGTTAGAGGGGACCTCAAAGTGGCCATTTGGACCTAAGATCTATTCCTGGCTGACAGCCAGCAAAAAAATGGGGACATTTTCTTAGAACCATAAAGGAAGTGAATTCTGCTAATAAAAATAAGAAATGAAAAAATTAGGTATCTGCCTTATATTTATTTTTCTTGTCTTATTACCTAAACAGGAGCACTGGTAAAACACTGAATATAATTGGTGGTATGTGGTATCATTGTCTTATTTCTGACTTTAATAGAAATGTTTTTAAGTTTCACCATTCTCTAGCATGCTTTCAATAGGCTTCTGTAAAATAAACTTTGTTAGGTTAAAAAGTTCCTTTCTTTTCCTAGGTTCTTAATAGGGAACTTTCCTTTCTTCTTTGTGGGAAACATTTTATAATTAAGGATTCTTTATTTCTTAAAAGACATAAATTTTAATGTAAAACTCTTTGTACCTACTGTCTGTAAGAAAGTTTAAATCACCAACTAAATTTATTGGTATAATCCTGTTTATATTCCCCCTTTCTTTATAAGTTAATTTTTGGCAATTTATATTTTTCTAGAAAAAAATTATCTATTACATAGATGTTTTCAAATATCTACATGGAATGTTCATGGCAATTTCTTATTTAAACAACAACAGCAACAACAAAAACAAAAAACAAAAAACAAAAAAAATAGTTCTAGGCATTTCTGATTTTAGCTTCTAAATGTAAGGAGATTGGAAATTAGCAATTCTATTATTACAACAAGAAAAAAAGCTGAGCAAACGGAAAATCAATGACTTTTCTGAGGGCCATGAAAGAATTGAGATCACAGGGAAAATCATCACCCTGAGATCTGGAAAGAGGGGTGAATACAAAGAGGCACCACTGAGATCACCTTTGTGGAGTGAAAGCCATTGGAGCCATAACCTGGTAGGAAGGCTTAAATAGTAGTTTTGATGAATTGCTGGAGACTGAGTATGGGTTATCCAGAGAGTGAAAAAATTCTGGAGAATCCAGTCTTAGAAGGTCCCCACACTTTCATGGGTTTTACTTCCAGGAACCCTACTGAGTACTCACTCTGAAGAACCGAAAAGTACCCTGGATCATTGGCAGAGAAGGGGGAAAGTAAACATTTGAAATATGTCCAGTGAGTTTTGCATAACAAAGTCCTTTTCTCTAGTGAAAAAAAGCTATCAGAGTCTTATCTCACCCAGTCTGCAGTAGGGTAATTAGCCAGCAACAGCCAAATCTACCTTTCTGCCTCACCTCAGGAGACGGAAAGAAAGAAAAAGTGAAGGTCACAGCCCAGGGACATAAGCCCACTAAGATTTAATCATAATATTAAATAATCCCCTTCTCTACATCTTACACATTAGCAGGGCTCCTGTGGGATAACAGTTGATCACAACTGAAGAATCAGCAATGCATAAATTCTATTTAAGAAGAAGTTCTTAAGAAAACCCAAAGAACAGGGAAGCTAAAAACCAAGAATATTAGAGGAATTTGAAACTCTTGGAACCTACAGCTTTAGCAACTGTTAATCACAGTCCACCAGATTAACATACAACCTCACAATAAAGGTATCTGTGTGTTTTCTGCTTTTTTGGAACAGGCTGGGAATGAGTTAACTAGGTTGCTCAAATCTTGTATAGGTTATAACTTAATTTTGTCTGCTTGATCTAGAAGATCCTGAGAAAGATGTATATAAACAACTTATATGTCAGTCCTATGACAGATACTCTTGAAAATAGAGTCTGAAGAAAGGACTAAAGAAGAAAGGGTAAAGGAAAGGAAACTGAGGTAAGAAATGTGAACTGAAGCTAACTGATGTGCTACTAAGATGGGTGCTGTTCCATGACAAGCTTCAAATAGAAACAGCTCTATAGATAATGTCCATTCAGTATACAGGATTCTTTTGGAATAATCTTTTTTTTTTTTTTTTTTTTTTAAGAAGCCCATGAGAGCAAGTACATGTTATGGATTGAATTCTGTTCCTCCCAAATTCATATGTTGCCCTAACACCCAGTGTGACTGTATTTAGAGAAAGGCCTTTATGGAGTAATTAAGGTCAAATGAGGTCATAAGGGTGGGGCCCTAAATCTGATAGAATTAGTGTCCTTATAAGAAGAGGAAGAGGCACCAGAGGTGTGTGTACACAGAGGAAAGGCCATGTAAGGACTCAGAGACAAGGCGGATGTCTACACACAGAAGAAGGAGGCCTAAGGACAAACCAAACCTGCTGACACCTTGGTCTTGGACTCTGAGCCTCTGAGTCTGTGAGGAAACAAACTGTTGCTGTTTAAGCCACCTAATCTGTGGTATTCTGTTATGGCAGCCCTAGCAAACTAATATAGTAAAGAAGGGGAATCTTCCAGGCTTTCTTCTGTCTCTTTAATCTATGGGGTCCCAATATTAAAAAATTGCATCACCCCTTGGACAGCAGCCCAGGTTGTCCACCCCATCTTCTTGGTACAGAGCTGCAACCAAGTCTAGAAATGCCATTAAAGCTGGAAAACTCCATGTGTGTAGTTGGTGGGCTGAGATATGCAGGTGGCCAATATTCCCAGGCAAGTGAATATTTGCCACTGTATGTGGCAGTGTGTTATAGGAAGTGAGTCACATTGTAAATCTGAGAATATCCTTAACATATGTGTCCTATATAATAGGGGAAGTGGGGAGGTTAATATCAGAACTCAGAGACCATCTTAACTAGAAGTCTTATAGACATTTTATTCTCATTTCTCTTATCTTAATTTTCATTTCGCTTAAATGACTATATCTCACACTTAGATATACAACAAACCCTTGGGAATTATCTGGTTTAACACTCTCATTTTAAAAATGAGAGAACTCAGGCTCACAAAGGTGATATTACTTGCGTAATTTGTTGACACTAAGGAGTTTGCTTTACCTAATTTGTTTAGCCTTAGAATTTGGTACTTAACCCATTGTAAAATCCAAGGGACTTTTCATTATTTTATGCTTATGGTCTATATCAGTAAAAAATAGCATGAGACGTGGCATAAGAAGCTGTAAAGTTTCAAATGACACACAAGTTGAAGTATCTGCTTTTGTTTTGCAAATATGGTATCTAATAAAACAGAACTTGAACCGAATACGGTGTTCAGCATAAAAGGTAAAGATATGATGTTGACTTCAAAGTTAGCAGATGAAACCAATCACTTCCTTACATTGAACTGTTAAAGGTCAGTTACCAGAGAGAAAAATATTAGTGGAAGCTTACATTTAGTGTAGCACTACTTTAGCTAGCATTGGGTAAACAGGTGAATAAACTTGCCTTAGTGGCTGTCTTTTGTCATTTATTTTTCTGAAAAAGCATATTAAATTGCAATATTTTTAATTGAGAGGAAAGAATATGATTATTTGAAAAATATGGGAATCAGGAAGAATTAAAAAAGATTATAAAGAAAAAAAAAACATTACAAATTGAAACAGGAAAAGTATACCACATTTTTTAAGCACCTAAGTTAACGATATTGTGAGTCTATGATACAATTTTGGAGACCTGATCTTAAAAGCAAAAGTAATCAACAGCATTTAATGTATATTCAGTGTTTGAAAATATAACAGGAGCAAAATGAGAAAATCCACTCAGATTTTGTTCTTTGCTTCTGTTACACATAGAAGCAAAGATTACTGTTTCCTGGTCTGATGCTGAGTGAATAGGTGATAGCGGGCAGTTCATCCAGAATCGTTCATATGTAATCAGTAGACACGATGCCTTATGTGACAGCTCTTCATTTAGCTTAATTTACTGTAACTCACACGTATTAATATCCTAGTAAGCTCCCTGGTGTCCCATTTCTGGCAGTGTGTGTGTCTCATTTTCTCTGTATGGGATTCCCTTGTGAAATATTTGGGAATTCTATCATGGAAAGCATCAGGAAGGGAAGGATGCTGCTTGGAGGAGTAGTTTTTTATATGGTTGACTAAGTAATCTGTTACTCAAAAGGTGATAAAAACATGTAGTTTGGATAAATTGCCTTAACATTTATTGCAAAATTTATAATTACATAAATTGCTGAAAATAATACCATTAAATAAATGTAATAGTATTTGTTTTTCTTGCTGTATTTCATTCTTAGATTTTACAAAGATTTATTAAATTTATACTACGTGTAAACCACAGTGCTATATGTTTATGGATCCAAAACAGATTGTCAGAAATTCCATTTTCACTAGTATTAGTAAATAGATACCTCCCACTAAAAACAACTATGAATGCTTTATAAACTATTTATAGTTTATTTATTTGTTGTCTACTTATGTGTTTATTTACCCTAGGATGGCTCATGTATTCTTGTTGTATGCAATGGATTGTATTCATTTAATATAGTTATTGATGTTTGATCCTCAATTTGTGTCAGATTTCCTCAGTGGGAAACTCTTAAATCTAACTCTTGTGTCTTTGATTTTTTCCCCATCATTCTTTGAATACTTTCTTACTGACAGCAGTAAAAGACATTTCAGGCTTCCTTATTCATTTCCATATCCCAGCTCTGGAATTAGCTTTTTCTCCAAAAAGGCCTCACAATCTTTAATGGAAAAAAGATACTTAAAAGCTGAGATCAGGGTGTTATGTGTGCTTATCACTACCTGTATCATTGCTCCTGGGCTCTCTTAGAGGATAAAAAAAGGAAATTATGACATATATAATATCATTTTCATATCTATCCATTTATTTTTTCTCTCTCTTAAAGACCATGAATTCATACTCATATTTCAAGTTCCCAAAAGCGAGGAATTTTACTCTCATTACTATCAATATGTTTACTCATTTGATCAAGCCTAGAACACACAGAAAATAGTTTCACAGTTGCTAAGTCCTATTACTACAAAAAGGAATTCATATCTGTTTATCGTTCTCTCTTTGTGGAATACATAAACCTTTTTTTCCCCAGTTTTATCAAGAAACAATTGACATCTATCACTGTATAAGTTTAAGGAATACAGCATGATGGTTTGATGTACATATGTTGTGAAATGATGACCACAATAGCATTCAGCTAACATCTGGCTCCTCACATAGATATACAGTAACAGGAAAAGAAAGAAAAAAAAGAAAAAGAAGGGAAAATTTTTCTCTTTGTGTTGAGAACTCTTAGGATCTACTCTCTTAACAACTTTCCCATATATCATACAGCAGTGTTAGCTTTAGTCACCCTGTGTACATTACATTCTAGTATTTATCTATAGCATTCAATTCGTTTTCCTAAAAGCAGACATTCACGTAATCTCTACCCTATCAAGTTTAGAATATTTTTCTCAGGCCCCTTCCTAGTTATTCTCCTCTCGTGCCCCATTACTTTCCTGAATTTTTGTCCTGAATGTACCACAATCTGTTTATACATTCTTCTGTTGGTGGGCATTTGAATCATTTCCATTTTTTGGTTATTTTTGAACAAAACCTCTACAACTATTCTTGTGCAAAACTTTTTGTAAAGACCTATTTTCATTTCTCTCGGTTAAACACCTAGGAGTGGAATTATTTGGATTATACAATAGGTACATATTCAATTTTGTAAGAAACTGCCAAACATTTTTGTAAATTATTGTTCCAATTTACCTTCCCAGATTCAACATATGAGCATTCCAGTTGCCCCACAACCTTGCTTACATTTGATGCTGTCAATCTTTAAAATTTTATCCATTATAACTGATAAGATATGGAATTTCTCTTTATTTTTATCATTTCTGTTTCCATGATTTACTAATAATGCTAATTACTGTTTTATGTATAAGTTGTCCTGCCCTTGGTGGCGCCTGGGTGGCTCAGTCGTTAAGCGTCTGCCTTCGGCTCAGGTCATGGTCCCAGGGTCCTGGGATGGAGCCCCGCATCGGGCTCCCTGCTCCGCGGTGAGCCTGCTTCTCCCTCTCCCACTCCCCCTGCTTGTGTTCCCTCTCTCACTGCGTCTCTCCCTGTCAAATAAATAAATAAAATCTTAAAAAAAAAAAAAAAGTTGTCCTGCCCTTAAAGACCTACATTCTGATGTTTTTTTATGGAGTGTGTCATAAATGTCGATAAAGTCAAGGTTGTTGGCTATGTTTCTCAGATCTTCTATATCTTTCCTGATTTTCTCTCTACATATTCAGTATTATTGATAAAGGTGAGTTGAAATATCCATGTGTAATTATGGATTTATGTATTTCTCCTACCAGTAATATTAGGTTTTGCTCCTCATGTTTTGAAGCTCTCTGGTTAGCTCCTTATACAATCTGTATTCTTATGTCTTTATGGCCATTTCTGCCTTTTTTTTTTTTAAGTATTTTTTTATTTTTTTTTAAAGATTTTATTTATTTATTTGACAGAGAGAGACACAGCAAGAGAGGGAACACAAGCAGGGGGAGTGGGAGAGGGAGAAGCAGGCTTCCCGCGGAGCAGGGAGCCCGATGTGGGGCTTGATCCCAGGACCCTGGGATCATGACCTGAGCCCAAGGCAGATGCTTAACGACTGAGCCACCCAGGCGCCCTCATTTCTGCCTTTTAATTGATGTTTAATTTTGTATGCAGAGATATAATTATTGTTATGTTTGTATTTTGATATACATTATATGTTTGTTTTCAATTTGTTATCTCCATTTTTAAAATTTTTCTATTGTCTCTTTTCTGTTCTATTTTGGACTATTTTAATACTTCAGGGAATTATTTTTTAATGTATCCATTGACTATGTGGTTATATTTCTCTGTTCATTTTTAATGATTTCTCTACATATTATAATATACATACCTTACATTTCATGGCCGATTTGGAATTGGTGTTTTGCTACTTTACATAAAA